AAAAAAGAAGTCAAGATGACTCTTTAGCTTCTGGCTATTTGTTTAACAAGGAAGGACCAAGTATGAGAAGAATTGGAGGATTTGGAGAGTTTGAGAATGCAGTTACCTTTTAAACATCCGGGCCTAAAATAATCAAAGTCAGGTGATTGGTGTAAGGTGTAAAGCTCAGAGGACAGTGGCTGGAGGCACCACTATATAGATGACACTTAAGGCAATGATAAAGGGTATGAAGAAAAAAGCCCCGCCCAAGCTCTGGCACATCAGTGATCTTAGCTGTGATAGAAGATCAGCTGGGGAACAGTCCATAAAATGAATTTAGGATGTTGGAGAAAAAAAAAGGTGGAACTACTGAGGATTTATTGCAACCCATGCTAACACCTAGACAGGAGGGAGAAGTGGTCCTTTTCCTCTACTTGTAGGTGGAATTTTCTGTCCTGCCAGCCCACTCCCAAATAACCACACAGAGACTTATTCATTATAAATGCTTGGCCAATAGCTTAGGCTTGTTACTAACTCACTCTTTCAACTTAAATTAACCCATACTCTGATCCACCCTCTACCATGTGGTGGTACCTTTTTCAGCCTGGCATGTTCATCTCCTGATTCCTCTGTGTCTGCTGGCGACTCCACACTTCTTCCTGGTGTTCTCTCTCAGTTTTGCTCTTCTGCCTAATTTCTTTCTGCCTGGCTATGGGTCACTCAGCTCTCTATTAACAATGAGAGCAACACATCATCACAGTGTACAAAAGGGTTGTCCCACAGCATCTTCTATGGCATGTCCCAGGGCATTCTCATTTCATTCTAATTTCAATTTTTGCATCTAAATAAGTGTTTAAATCTCTATATTCCTATAAGACTGAAGATCTTCCTCTGATTATTCCACTAGTACCTCTGTCTCAGTTCATTTTTTCCATCTGTTCAGTATGACTGCAATCTGGAAATCAAGAGGCACACCCACCACTGAAGTCTCATTCTTTCTAGTTAATAAAATATTCCAAATCTTGTTTTTTATCTTTAATATTTATCAGGCTAAGTTTCCATATGAAAAATATAGTGGCATTTTAAAGTAACCACAGTTACTCTAGATGATAACTAAAACTCATTTATTCAGGGAAATAGTGGCACTGTTTTTAAGAATGATATTTTCTTCCAATCTCTTTCCTTTAAGTTTACGTTTGGACTAAAATATAACATCAGAAAAATTTTAAGAGAATCTACAAGGAGGTTTAGAATGGCAAAGCCACTCAATCTTAGCAAAGGGAACTGTTTACTTCTATTTCATAAGGAAATTTAGGAATGAATTACTAAAAACAGGTAGAAATGGAGATGGACAGGAAGGGCCTGGGTTGTCTATTCACCTGTTCATTAGTGAAGAGAACTTTCCATGCAAGAAAGAAATTAGTAGGTGACTAGTTATATTTTGAGTTCGTCTCTGGACTCTTCCACACACCCCTATTGGTTAGAGACATTTTATTTGTACACATCCCCACTGAGGTTGAATGCTGACTATTTTTCTGAGTGGTGATATGTCCCTATTCTGCCTTTTTTATGAGCCTTTTATGAACAGAGGCACACACTTGTGAGATCACTGGCCAGAATGAACCATGGTCCAACACATTACTTCATAGAGTTAAAATGGACAGAAGCCTCTACAAGAATGTCCCCAGTGACCCAGATGTGTTATTCTAATGGGCTTTTCCACAGAGCACCCAGTCCAGAGCAACATCCTCATTGTCCCCCTAGATTTCTGGTGGAGGAGAGGTTGTAGCATTTGGGCAAACTGTTCTTAAACTCGTTGACTATGGTTTAACGTCTCTGTTATCTTACTGGTCACATAAGAATTTGACATAAACTTTTTAAAAAGATTTATTTGTGTGTGTGTGTGTGTGTGTGTGTGTGTGTGTGTGTGTGTGTGTGTGTGTTTATGCGTGAGTATGGGGTGTGTATAAGCCTGTGTGTGCAAAGGGCAGCAGAGGGTGTTAGATCCCTCAGAGCTGGAGTTCCAGGTTTGTAGGATTCTGGGCTTGTTCTGAGGGCCTGGGATCCAAACTCTTACCCTGACGACCATGAAGTAAGCACTTGAAAGCACTCAGGCATTTTACAGCCCCTGTATGCTTTTTACATTTTTTTTCTAATCATTGATTAGTTTTATTCTTTAAAATCTATTCTTAGACCAGTGGCTGTTCTTTCAGGTCCCATGAATTCATAAACCTCTTAACATTCATCCATACACACCACTGACATTCTGCATACTTACTTCCTCTTCCACATCTTTAATAGAAATGCAAAGCGATGCTAGATTTAACATTTTCTGAGTGACTCCCCACCAGTCACGCCTCTTCCTGCAACTACACATATTATATGTGGTTTCTTTTATTTTTTTAAATTCGTGATGCTTGGAATCGAATTCAAGGTTTCATCCATGCTGGGGAAGGGCTCTAACCACTGAGCTACACCCCCAGTCCCTGACATAATTTTTTCTTTAATTTTTGAGATTATAAAATAAGTACAACATTTCTCCATTTCCTTCCCTTCCTCTAAACCTTCCCATGAGCTACATCCATAGAGTCTCACCAACAGGACAGCTTAACCATGAGCTAAATAAGGACAACAATAGATGTGCCAGAGTAGGTGGGGGAAAGCCCAGGAGATCTCAACCGTACACAAAGCAGTGCAGGCAACTAAGATAAGCTGAAGTGGGAGAAGCATTCTTCTCCAGGGAAGAGCACACCAACTGGTTATCCAATACCAATGGTCATCCCTGAAAGCATACATACACGTGACATTATAACAGGCCGAGCAGGTTATATTTAAGAATACACACATACATACATATGTGCATACATACATACCTATATACACATACTTTCTGAAACTTTAATACATAACTATAGCAATCTACATATTATTTCTTTCAATTCTCTGTGGAAATTTAGAGCATTCATAACGACTGCTTATGAAAAGCCAAACTATAGGATTTCTAATGGTTCAGGCCCTTTAAGTGATCTCCACTTTGTGACACTCCTCTTTTTTCCATAGCTGAGTCTTATCAAAGGTGAGACCAGGGGAAGGCCTTCATTGGCTCTGACTGCTAAAGGTAGTAGGTTATGTCTGGCTTACATTTAGTCCTGGTGACTACCCAGTAGCCAGATAGAACTAGTTTTCTAAGGAAAGACACCATGAAATAGCAGTTTAAAGATGGTCAGAAACGTTAATGGAGGGGTTTGATTTTGTGAAGCATACTAAAAGGAAAATAAGCATCCCTGGGTCCACCATGCGCAAGTACCCACCATTGCTTCCTCTCCTCCCTGAGGGGACTTCATTCTCAGTCTCAGCTGGTGTCCTAGAGAACCCAAAGCCACAGGGATTGTGACAGTGGCAATAAATAAAACATCTACCCGGTGCATTTCCATGCAAAAAGTAGTTCAGCGCGTTGGGCGGTGGTCGTACACGCCTTTAATCCTAGCACTTGGGAGGCAGAGGCAGGTGTGAGTTCGAGGCCAGCCTGGGCTACAGAGTGAGTTCCAGGGCAGGCGCAAAGCTACACAGAGAAACCCTGTCTTGAAAAACTGAACATCAACAACAAAAAAAGTAGTTCAGTGTTCTTTGGCCTCTCATGGATTAAAAAAAAAAAATCTAAAAATTAAAAATAAAAAAAAGAAAGAAAAGAAAAAACCCAGCATGTTGAAACTACTTTTCCTTTGCAGCAAGTCCCCAAGTGTTTATGATTCAACAATTTGAGCCTGTGTGTAAAAGTCATTACACTAGTGGTTCTCAACCCGTGGGTCACGACTCCCTTGAGGATAGAATTACCCTTTCCCTGGGGTTGCCTAAGACCATGGGAAAACACAGACATTTAAATTACAATTGGTAACAGTAGCAAAATTACAGTTGTGAAGCAGCAATGAAAATAATTTTATGGGGGGGGGTCACCACAACATGAGGAACTGTATGAAAGGGTCACAGCATTAGGAAGGTTGAGAACCGATGCACTATAATACCCATGATTTAAAATCATTAAGACAATAGTACAGAGAATTAAAAAAGTGCAATAAATGAAGTATATTACCATTATTAACTATGTATTAGAATTAATAGTAGGCGTTTTACTTCTCCCCAGCGAGAAAATAAAAAAGTATTCAGAAGATAAATATATATATATATATATATATATATATATATATATATATATATATATATATATATTTGAAATATATATATATGAAATATCCCAGTGTATTGTTGCTAGAGTTTTCCTGCCTGGCCCACAGTCAGGACAAATCTCTCTCACCCGTCAGTCCCAAGCCGCTTAAACCCGATCAAATAAACACAGAGACTTATATTGGTTACAAACTGTATGGCTGTGGCAGGCTTCTTGCTAACTGTTCTTACAGCTTAAATTAATCCATTTCTATTAATCTATACCTTGCCACGTCGCTTGTGGCTTACCGGTACTTTACAACTTCCTTATCCTGATGGCGGCTGGCAGTGTCTCTCTCACCCAGCTTCCTGTTCTCTCAATTCTCCTCTCTGTTAGTCCCGCCTATACTTCCTGCCTGGCCACTGCCAATCAGTGATTTATTCATTGACCAATCAGCAACACATTTGACATACAGACCATCCCACAGCAGTGTATGAATTGAGTGGAAATGTCTTTTAAAATGCTACATATGTGACAGCCTGAGGAAGAGTAGTATTAAGAAATTTCACAGAATTTTTATGTAAAGTCGTCTTATGCCATGTTATGATCTCAGGGACACTTTGTAATATTTACCAAGTCTTCTGAGAGTTCATTTATTCAGGTCATATTTTAAGGAAGAGCTTATAAGATTCAGATCTATAATGTCATTCTGTAATATGCCCAACTGATCCCATTAAATCCAGCCCTACCCAGGCAGTATAATGATGTGAACAATCCCCTTTCTTTCCGTTGTTACCCCTTCCTTGAAATGCAGTCCTTCTGGATTAAGAGAACGGTTCTTCTTGGCCTCTCTCTCCAGGCCGAGGTTCAGCTCTGCTACCTGGAAGCACAAAGGGACGCTGTGGAGCAGATGTCTCTCAAGCTGTACAGCGAGCAGTATACCAGCGGTAGCAAGAGGAAAGAGGAGTTCGCTGACATGTCCAAAGTGCAGTCCGTGGGAAGCAACGGGTAAGGACGATCCTTTTGGTTGTTTTCTTCTCACGAACCTACTTTTTCAGCAATGCCCAGTATCGGGTGCTGTGCAGGCATTTCCTTCCTAGCTAGCAGACAAGGAAAGGCTCACTGGAGTGCTGGAGTCAAGGACCGTGGTTTTTATCAGCCGCTACCATCTAAGTCAAAACTTCTGAACTTCGTTACTGTCTAGTAAAAGACAGCCTGGTGTTTCTCAGGAGTGTTTTCGAGCCTATATTTTATTGATAATATTGGTCTTTCTCCTTCACAGATTGTTTTCAAAATTTATATCCCCTCCCTTTGACCTCACTGTCTAGGTTAAAGTTTGTTTATTGAATTTCTAAATACTAGAACTTCACTGGACATGTGGAAGGACACAGACTAGAGATACAGTCATTGTTTAGAAACCATGGTTTAGCCACTTAGATTCACACCAAGTCAGCAGGAACTGGAGACTAGTTCTTGACTTTTTTTTTTAACATTTGAGACAGGGTCACATGTAATCCAGGCTGGACTTAAACTCACTTTGTAGCTGTGGCTGACCTTGAACTCCTGACTCTCCTGCCTCTACATCCTATTGTGCTGAGCTGACAAATGTGAACCACCATGCCTGGTAAAAACCAACACCTGAGCTGTTTACAGTCAGTGAATGGCGGCAAGAGTACCCGCGCCCCGTGAGATGTACAGTTCCATGTAGATAGGACCAGCTGCCCAAGTCTTCAATAACTGTTGTGTCTTCAGGTATTTCTAAATGTCTCAAAGATGTACAAACATTGCCCAGTGTATTGCTATATTTCTGTTTTCTAACTCAATTCTAATATTTATTAGAAGATCATTAAAGAGCAAAAGTGATGAAGTTAAATAATTTCATAGTTTTCATAGCTCGGTAATAATCATCTTTAATAAAATGTAAGTGGTCACCTTTTCACTTTTACACTTGGACTAGGCAACCAGAGATAGACACTGTTTACCAATGTTATATTGCATGTTTATAGTGTTATGTAAACCTGTGGAGATAACGCTATCCAGAAAATTCCTTGAAGACAGCATAAAAGAAGCCTTTTTTTTGTACTTGGGTGCATCTATTATTTTTTTTCTTTTTGGTCTTTTTTTGGGACAGGGTCTCACTGTGTACCTCTGGCTGTCTTGGAACTCTCTATGTAGACCAGGCTGGCCTCAAATCCAGAGATCCATCTGCTTCTCTGCTTCCCAAGTACTGGAATTAAAGGTGTGCACCACCATACCTGGCTTGCATTTATCTTTTGAAGCATTTAGATTTATAATGGACTTACAACCCTCATACAATGTTATGGGTTAAATTAGTACGTAGGTTAGAGATTCGGTACTGTTATAGTAACTCAGGGTATAAGAATATAAGAAAAATACCAGGGTCATAATTTTGTTTTGAACTGAGAACGAAGAACTTATATTTGTCATTCTATCAGGTTGTTTTCTACATGGGAGACCTGCTATCTATTCCATGGGCTTGTTTTACTTGATTCAGCAGACATTTTTCTATTTACCGAGGGGGCGGGGACAGCAGCCAATGAGAAGGAAAAGGCTAAATCTTACAGCATGAACAATAAGCTGTTTGCAGGCCTTAATATGCTTTAATTTCTCAAAATGCCTAAGCAGGCTCTGGTGTGCGTGCAGGCACAGACTTTAGGTCACATTTTCCTGTTTTCTAAAGCCTTTGGATTGAGCAGCACCGTGTGCTTCTGACCTCAGATTCCAAGGGCCCAACCTGAGCACTCATTCTGGGTTCCAGGCATCATAAATCTGCCCTGGGAACTGCTTAGTTAGCAACAAGCATTGTTCTGTGACGTGGGAGTGGGTGAACTTTCCTGATAGCCTTTGTTTGTGCTCCTTAGGGTGCTGAGGGCTGTGCATTGTGCAGAAATTTAAGAGTGCGCTGAAGGAAAGTCTGCCATTTAATAGTATGAACAGAAACCTATACGGCCTTCTAGTCCCTGTTGACACACAGGAAAGCACTGTCTGAGAAATTCCTGGGGGTGAGGTTATCTGAGGTGTCCTGCCCTCAAGACTCAGCTCCCACAGTCAAATCTCTAATTCTGAAGCCTTGAAAACACAGCCTTGTAAAATTACTTACTCCAATGATAGATACTCTTCACTAACCATTCCTTTTGTTACATAAAATAAGTACTGTTTCCAACAAGTAAACGTGGGAACAGCGTGGGCTTTCCAGGGTCTGTATTTCAAATGCAGAATCAAATAGACCAAAGAGAAAAATGAAGTCAGTAATCCAATTCATGTACTTCCATTTTCAGACTTCACATGCTCAGACTGTGTGTGAGAATGTAGGTGTAGAAGAATTCTTTAGAGAAGACCCAACTGCTGTACTGAATGGCGCTCTTAAATTTCCACAAGTTTTCTATAACAAAGCTATTCCTTCTGAAATGAATTCATTACCTCTCTGGCTTGGTAAGAAGGTGTTTATTAGGGTGGTATGTTAAAGTTTATACCCAACTATCAGTTTTGTGCTTAGCAGTTCTGAGTGGATGTGGTGAGAGATTCTTCCGGAACACAAAGGAACATGCTCTGGCAATACAGCATGTTCATCTTGGGAGATATTTAGCTTATGCATACCATCACAGGACCACGGCTCCTGGGTGGCCTGCAATAGATGAGTCTTTGTGATTCTTTGGGGGAATAAACACCGTTACTTTTTATTTCAGTGAGAGCAGTACTGGTTTGTTTTGTTTCTTCCATCAAGGAAGTCTTCACGAGGTCCTACTATGTGCACGGCCCAATGTTCCAAGTGTGGCTAATCAGGACCACTTGCATTCTGTACGCTTCATAAACAGTGACCATCTCCTTTTTCAGGTGTTTCTTCCCATAACGATGTTATCTGATTTCACTTTTCAAATAAGGTTCAACTGGGCGGTCCAATGCATTAAGTAGCTCTGTACTTGCTGAGGAAACTTAGTTTAGATGATTAGCCATGTCTTTTCTTCAACATATAAATTAGGGAATTAAAACGTCCAACAGCTTAATGATTCACTAGCCCAGGATAGAAGACTTAAGATGGAACTGAAAAAACCCCACAGCTCAGAACCCTAGGTCAAGAATGTAGCGGTTGCCAGGTATGGCTGTATAACTAACATCTCAGCATGCAGGAGAATGGGACAGGCAGACCGTGTCTGAGGGCATTCTGCGAAACAGCCAGATCCGGTCTCAAAACTCCCTGCACACACAGCAAAAACAAAACAAAAAGGCAAGCAATCCAAACAGTCATACCACCTCCTCTCCGAGGATTTGAACTGTACCCTCGACAGAATTTCATCATAAATCCTGCATTGTGAAAATTCCACACTGTATAAAACTTACAATGGAAAAATACAATAGTCCTAAGGAAATTTTATTCCACAAAGATGTTTCTGGCAAGAAACTGCAAAAAAAAAAATGGTGTATGATGGAGCATGCCTGTGAGTTCAGCTACTTGAGGACATTGAGACAGGAAGCTCACTGGAGCCAAAGACTCGAAGAGTAGTGCGACCCTGTATCCAAAAAGCAGAATGAAACCCTCAGAAACCCCAAATTCAATCATTAATTAGACCAACATTTGTAAGTGCCTTTTGTAGTCAAGCTCTGTGTAAAGTGGAGACTGGCAGGAGAAAGGGGGGTGGTATTTATACTTGGAAACTCATAGTTTAGTTTTAGGAACAGGCAGATCTATAACCTAAATGGTATGAAGTCTTCTAAGCATTGAGTTAGAAACATGTGAGCATTAGAGATGAACTTCTGCACAGCTGGAGTCCATTCTGTGTCCAGGAGAACTAGAGCAGGCCAGGGAAGACAGTAGAGAGGGCCCCGAAGGTGACAATTTCTCATTGTAACCTAAAAAGTGCTTACTGAACACCTACAAAGTCAGACGGTAGCTTAGTGTGTCATTAAGTCAGCATTTAGCTGTGCAGTAGGAGAGGGGAAACAGTGTAGTTGCGTTTTTTTTTTTTTTTTTTTTGTTGTTTGTTTGTATTTACTCTTTGGGGGGCCCGCCACCCAGCTCCCAAATAAATACATGGAGACTTATTCTTACTTATGAATGCCTGGCCTTAGCTTGGATTATTTCTTGCCAGCTTTTCTTAGATTATCCCATCTACCTTTTGCCTCTGGGCTTTTATCTTTCTTGATTCTATATATCCCTCTTTCCTTCTTACTCCATGGCTGGTTGGCTGGCCCCTAGCTTTCTCCTCCTCTTTTCCTTTTCTCGCTCCTCCCTCTTCTCTTCTCCTATTTATTCTCTCTGCCTGGAAACCCTGCCTATCCCTCTCTTGCCTTGCTATTGGCCGTTCAGCTCTTTATTAGACCATCAGGTGTTTTAGGCAGGCACAGTAACACAGCTTCACAGAGTTAAACAAATGCAACATAAAAGAATGCAGTACATCTTTGCATCACTAAACAAATATTCTACAGCATAAACAAATGTAATACATCTTAAAATAACATTCCACAACAAAGCAGGGTTTTTGAAACTGGTGAGATGGCTGCATGAGACACAGCAGTGTCCCTGCATCCAGGGCGGGTTTTCCCCTGAGTCTAATATGCTGCCTGGCATGTGCTTGGTACTCACACGGATAAGTCTGATGTGGAGCCAGCCAAGAGGGAAAAACGGTCTAGAGGATTGCCACCTGTTTTCTATTCCGGAAATCAGGGTAGAATGTTGAAAGAATGGGGGGAAAATGTTTGAGGAAGAGGTTAACTCTAGCTCCTAGATTTAATCACTGAATATATGGTCTGAGCCATGATCACCAGGGGAATCTTAAAACTAAAAGCATCCCCTTCCCCTACCTGCTTGCCCCACAGCTTAAAATTCTCATTCTCTAGGCAGGTTGGGGGCGGGGGATGATCAGGCCTAAAAGCTCATCACTTGCTGAAAGTCTGTGTCACTGGTTTTTAGAGTGTTCTCTCTGAGTCAGCAACATCAACTCCTCATATGAATACCCCTTCTGGGTTTCAGTCCATACCCATGAATTTGG